TAATCCAGTGCACACAGCATAGAGTATTTAGAGGAAACAATATTTCCAGAAATAATAATTAACCTTGTGATGTGTAAAGCTCTCTTATTTCTCTTTTATTCCACCTTTAAAAATAGGCTGGACTTGGGCCTCCCCGGTGGCTCAGCAGTTGAGCGCTGCCCGCAGCCTCCGCAACGCCGGTTCTCTCCCCAGCCGCTGGGCGAGGGTCCCACACGGCGCTCAGAACTCTCCTGCCGCCCGCTGCTCCCCTCAGAAGTGTACTTCGGTCCTTCTGCCTGCTCTGCTCCCCGCTCTGGCTCTGGCGAATTCTCTTACCCTCCCACACTTCTGACTGTACCCAGTGCTTGTATAAATAATAAATAAATCTTTTTAAAAAAAAAATAGGCTGGACTTGGGCTGTTAAATCAATTCATGACCCATGAATGAGTTAAGACCTATAGTTTAAAAAACACTGTTCTTGATTTTGATTGATCTTGAGATGTTTATCCCCAGAAAAACTCCAAGGATACTCCAAAAAATGGAGGGGACTCTGCTTTGCCAAAGGAATTGTAAATAAGAAACTAAAGACAGACGAGAGAGAGAGAGAGAGAGAGAGAGAGAGAGAGAGAGAGAGAGAGAGAGAGAGAGAGAGAGATGAGAGAGAGATGAAAAGGCGCAGGAGGATTATTTGAGCCAAGTCTCCCCTGCAGCTGAGGCCCCCTCTAGTTATCATTTCTGGAGCTGGGAATGTTAGGGGGAAAAGGATGTCCCAAAGCAAATTCCATATAGGCTTTGTGGACTCCACCCCCACCCCAGGTGAAAGCCAAAGACACTGGGAACTCCAAATCCCATCACCACCAAAGGGAAGGTGGCTGGGACCTGAGGGTGGGGTTAAGCAGCCAGGTGGATACAAAAGGCAGACACATGGGCTTTGGGGGGCTCTCCATTTTTGGGCTCTCGGCCAGCTCGCAGCGTCCGGCCAGCTCTGAGAGTGACTTTGGGTTTCCAGGTCGTCGGATCGGGTAGGACGCATTAAAGACTTTATTTCCCTATTTTCTCCCTGAGTTGTATATTTTCCTTATTTCTTTTTCTCTTGTAAATAAACCTTTTGTTAACCCTTTTGTGTGTGTCTGTAGTAGAGTATTCATAAGTCCCTTTAAAGCGCGCGGGTGAGGACCCACAGCCAGGAACCCGTTTAATATCGGGGTTGCTCTATAACAGGAATTCAGGGATGGGTAAGATATGTCCCTGCCTTAAAACGGGCTCCTGGTTCAGAAAAGCAGGCTGCCATGTAAACATCTAAATGATGTGCATTGATATAGGTTAATTAACAGGGGGTAATTAAACCGCATTGCGATATAGGAAGCACAGCTGGAGGCCATTGAAGGCCTGAATAATCTGTTTGAAGTGGAGGGGCTGGGAGGAGAAGAGGGCTCAGGGGTGGTGGTGGCTGATTGTCTTGAGGGTGGAAGGTCCCAGGTTGGCAAAAGGAAGAGAGAATTTGAACAGCTGGAGTAGCAGGGGACAATGGCAAACACAGGAGCAGGAGTGGGGTGGGGGAGCTGTGTGGGAGGGGAAGTCCCTTTGCTCACTGGGCTTGTTTATTTGGAAGACTGAAGGGTGAATAGAAAAGCAATGTTCAGATTTGTTTCTCTGGTGAGACCCTTTGTTCCACTGAAGTTGCCCGGAGGCCCAATGTGTGAATGAGAATAGACCATTTTTCTTTAACAGGAAACAAATCTGCCATTGTTTGGAAACATATTTTGAAAAATCCTTCATGGGAATAAAGGGGCTGATTCTCACTCTGGGATCTGAATTTGAAATAAGACTTGGAGGAAAAAAGACAAAGTGGTTTTAGGCCTCCCTGTTGGCGCAAAGGGTTAAGACACAACCTATGAAGCTATCTGCAGTCACTGCAGCATGAATTTGATCCCTGGCCAGGGAGCTACCCACATGGCACTGCAGACCTCTCCTGCCTCACCTGCTGCTCCCCTCAGCAGTGTATTTCAGTCAGTCTGCCCGTTCTGTTCTCTGTCTCTGGTGAATCCTCTCACCCCCCACACCTCTGGCTTGTACCCCAGTTCTTGTGTGCATAAATAAATAAATCTCAAAAAAAAAAAAAAAAGACAAAGTGGTTTTGTTTAATCGAGGGAGTAGTTCTCAGGGGGTCCAGCAAAGGGCACCCAGGGAAGTGGGGGAAGTTTCACCCAGCTTGGCTGCCCATGTACACACTTATGAGCTGCCCCCGCCCCAGTCCATTTTCCACTTTATCAAAGCCCTGTGAGAGTAATCCTTTTTAAAGGACTCAGAAAGAATCCTGCCCTCCGCCTGCCAGGCTTTGCACCATCTGCCCACTGGCTGCTGCCCAGACCTCACCTCCCGCTGACTTCCCCGGCCACCCGCCACCCTGCCCACCCTGCTGTTCCTAAATCCATCCCACACACTTCCTGCTCGGGGCTTTGCTGCTATCTTTCCCTGCCTCACCCACTCTTTACCCAAATAGCTACATCTCTCTCCGACCCTCCAGTCCCACCTCTTCACAAATGCTACCCAGAGGAGGGCTCCCCTGTCCCTCTTGGATGCCTCACTCCGCTTTGCTTATTTCTTCATAGGCTCACTGACCCCCACTCCCATCCCCCACCCCCCAATCAGGCAGTAAGTGGCAGTTCATCCGCCTGATGTCCCCCCTGGAGTGAAGGCTCTTGGAAGGCAGATGAGTTAAACCTGGAACAGTTCAGACAGGAGGTGAGAGGCAGAGGCAGAGGTGGGGCCTGGTGTCTCTGGGGTCTTCACCTTTTTCCTCCCGGCATTTCAGAGGCTGCATCAGTGTCACCTCAGATAAAAAGCCATCCATTATCTCACTAAGAAAATGGGTTTATTTGGAATTGCAAACCATAAGGCAGTTTGATATGTATATGTCTCCTGCAGAGATCCACAGGCACTTCCCTGAGTTAAGGGTCACCCCCACCTAGCGTCTAGGGCTCCTTCCTTCTTCTTTCTATTCAGGCAGGGAGGCAACATCACTTCCCACAGGCCAGCCGGACACATTGGCTCCTGTATCTAGACACTGCTTTTGAACCCCATTTTGGACACCACTTAGAAAGGGTTCTGTATGTTAATTTTCACAGGAGAAGTCACCTTCCTTGTCACTGGGACTGACAGGAGGACTCCTGGGACACCTTCTGCCTGGAGGAAAGGCATCTCGCGCTCTGGAGAGGGATTTGCTGTGGGGAACCCAGGGACTAGACTGCGGGAATGGAGGAGACCTGGCTCCCCACATTGAGGGCGTTGGTGTACCAGAGTGAATCTGAGACAGCGTGGGGGCCTCCCCTCTGAGGGTCCCAGATGTGTCCTGCCTGGAAATATGAAGGGTTTTCTCAGGGTCTTCCCCTTAGGCCTCTCTGAGCTGCCGTCTTTGATGACCTGTTTGGCCACAGACTGTGTGACGTGCCCCTCATAAGGAAGAGGGGAGACAGACAGTAGTGAGAGAGCAGGGGTGGGAAAGAGAGAGAACTGGGGAGAGACAGAGAGACAAAGAAAAAAAGAGGCAGAAGGAAAAGGCACGAAGAGGGCAACTATAAAGAAAACACTTTAGAGCTGGAGATGTGGGGAAGATTAAGATACAAAGGGAGGGGCCTCCCCTGGTGGTGCAGCGGTTGAGCGCTGGGCTGCGAGGCTGCCCTCAGCCTCTGCAGCGCCAGTTCATTCCCAGGCTGCTGGCGAGGGTCCCACAAAAAAAAAAAAAAAAAAGATACAAAGGGAAAGAGAGAGAGAGAATGGGGAAAGAAAGGCAGTCATAGAGAGAGGCAGGAGAGAGAACAAGATGGCTGGGACAAAGTAAAAGTCACCAGGATGTGTTTGTTTTGAATTTGCAGGTCGGAGAGGAGCAACCAGATACCCCATCCTTGGCAGCAATCCTTGCTCCCAGAATAATCTGCAAGGAGCCCCGCCTTGTTTCCGGCTCCTGGGGTGGGGGCCCCCTTTGTTTCATCGATGAATCCTCAAGTCCCAGATGGTAAGCCTGTGGGTGGGGTACTCTGGATGCGAGCAATGGTCATTAAGCCAGAGGCTAATGATTTCAGCCCCTCCCTGGGCTCCTTCTCTGGTCTTGGAGGCACCTGCTGACTTAGAGGATCAGAGGAGTCTTCCTGGTGGATCAGGCAACGGGCCTCAGCAGTCAGCCTCAGGGATTTTAGGTGGAGAGGAATCAGTCCCCTGGGGAGAAGGGTCTGTAAAGGGAAGAAACCTCCCGCCCACCAGGGGAGTTTTCAGACATGCTTGGCAGAGAGATTGCTCTGGCTTCAGCCCTAGGAAGATTCAGCTGTGGTGCCAGAGCCCCCAGGACCCTCAGTGCAGAGCTGCCCCTACAGGAAGACCAGTCTCCCCTGACTTCCTCACTCGCCCGCTGAACCCACTGTCTGTTCCTGGGAGGGGGATCTGAGGGGATCTCTCTACTCAGAGAGAAAAGGTTTGTCTGGCAGATGGAGAGATGGAGGAAGAGCAAGTGCAACAAAATATTAACCATGGCAGAATGTTCATGGTGGACATATGGGTATTTATTGTACAATCCTTTCAACTCTTCTATGCATTTGGTTTTTTTTCCCCCCACAACAAAGCATCAGGGGAGAGAAGAAAATTGCCTGCTGAATAGACACCCTCCTCAGTATATGGATTTAGGAGTGTAATCCCTTTCCAGGAGAATCTATGGAATGCTTGGAAAGGGCAATGTTTATTCCAAACCATGGCAGATTGCAAGTGAGCGCACCTGCGGAACACCCAAAGGTGGGGGGGGGGTGCTTAGACCACACCCTAGAGCTGATTAGTCACTTTGCCCACCCAAAGCTACTGGTCCTGGGGTTGGAGATTTTTTCTCAGTTTAGTTTCTGAGATCTGGGTCTTGACCCGGAATGGACCCCACCTTGCCACCTGTAACCTTCAGGGGAGGGGCAGGACAAGATGTTCCAGACCCTGCCTGGCACCTGACCCTAAGAGGCTGATCATGTTTGCTCAGGAGGTGAGGTTCACACGATAAAGAACAGGGGAAGAGCTTGGACCTGGTATAAAAGATCTGGAGATCTCTGGGGGATCACATGGGACCTGAAACTGCCAGGTGAGTGGTGGCAGAGGCCTGTGCTCAGTCACTCAAATCTCAGGGATGTCTGGATTTGAATTAGGGGAAATTCAAGCTGAGCTGGAGAAGGGCCGGTCTGGGCTGAGTGGCCAGGGAGACCAGGGTGTCAGTTACCGGGGACATCTGAATCTGAGACAGTGTAAGGTGCAAAGGTAGTTGGGTCTCAGGTGAAGGGCTGCAGGCACCTGGGATGCTGGGGGATTGCATGTGGTCAGATGTGTGTTAGTGGAGAGGAAATGATGACAAACAGAGCAGGACCTGATGTCTTGAGCTGGCCCCAACTCCATGGGCACCTTTCATCTGTCCCCACCACACCAGCTCTGCTTGGCCACAGAGACACTGGCGCAATCTCTTCTGTCACCCCTTTCACTCCCCACGCGACAGAGACACACCTCTAAAATGGTGTGTCTGATGAGGTCAGGGTGAAACTAGGGATTAAACTGTGCCCCAGAGGCCCCCCCAACCAGGACAATCCGCTGGGAAGACTTCAGGTGGGCTGGGCGCAGACTCCCAGCTCGGTAGACCCAACCATCCTGTGATTTGGAGAATCCTCACTCCTTTAGACAACTCCGTCCTTGCTTTGTGCCTGGAGGGGCCAGGGGTGACCCAGTTCAATCCAGATAGAGGTTGGGGTGGGTCTTCTGACTTGTGACAGAAGATGAGGGTTGACAACAGCAGCCCAGTGAGGCAGAGGGTTAAGGGCAGAGAGGACAGTATCCGAGAGGGCCAGGGCTGGACCCTGGGAGGACTAGGACGGACAGTCTCCGCTAAGTCCAAGACTGAGCCTGCTGTCTCTGAGCTGAAGGTCCAAGAAGACCGCGTCTCAGCGGGAGGGCAGGAAACGGAGGTCAGAGGGGAATGGGCAAACGTCATGTTCTCCTTTTTCCCCAGAATGTTGACCTTGGCTCTTCTCGCCCTTCTCTGTGCGTCGGCCTCTGCCAATGCCAGTAAGTGAGCCGCGGGAGCCCAGCCGGGGTCGCGGGAAGGCAGCGCCACACACGCTGCGGGTCCAGGCTTCCAGCGGCTTCCTTGGGGTGGGGGGACTGAGTTGTGGGAGGAATGCGAGCTCCCGAGGGCTTTCTCCCCCCAACACCCACGTCCCCTCCAGTTCAGCCAAGGTCCTCCTCCTACAACGGAGAGTACGGAGGCGGTGGAGGGGAGCGATTCTCCCATTCTGGCAACCAGCTGGACGGCCCCATCACCGCCCTGCGCGTCCGCGTTAACAAGTACTACATCGTGGGGTAAGAGTCTTTGTTTCCGTGGTTTGGGGACCGCCTAGGACCCTAAGCTGGGACGTTCTCGGTCACTCTGGGTCCCAGCTGTTCCAGTCAGCGAGTGCCAGGGGTAACATGCTGGGGGAGAATGGCCAGAGGACTTGGTCTCCAGACCCGCAGCCCCGATGTAGTGACCTGGCTGGATGGTTGATCAGAAGCTCTCAGGGGCCTGGAGCTTGTCTAGTTAGCCCCCACCAGAGATGTACCCTGACACCCCATATCGTGCCTTTTTGCTGGATGCCTCTCCCCAAATATGCATTCTTCTGACCTTGATCTGCCTCCGGAGACAACACAGACAAGTCTCTTCCCTCAGGAGACTCTTTCCAATGATGGAAAAAGCCCTTGCTTCTTCCAACTAGTGGGTGGGGGCACGGGAGCAGCCTGGACTTCAAAGTCGAGCTCTCATACCTGCTGTCTGGGGAACTGAGCATGCTGATTCCCTATTTTTCAGCAAAATGAGAAGTTGAAACTCCCCATCTATGCCTAAGAGCTCCCCCAACTGTCACAAAAAGTGGGCCCCGCAGGAGCTTTGTCACCCCTGTCACTGGTGTGAAGGCCTGTGGGTGGGCCAAAGAGGTTCTGAATTCTGATCACCCCACTCAGCCTCTCCCTTCCCTCCCACCTCTCCTCTGCCCCCAGTCTCCAGGTGCGCTACGGCAAGGAGTGGAGTGATTATGTGGGTGGCAAGCAGGGAGACCTGGAGGAAATCTTCCTGCACCCTGGGGAGTCAATAATCCAGGTGTCTGGCAAGTACAAGTACTACCTGAGGAAGCTGGTCTTCGTGACTGACAAGGGCCGCTACCTGCCTTTCGGGAAAGACACAGGCACGAGTTTTAATGCTGTCCCCCTGTACCCCAACACTGTGCTGCGTTTCATTAGTGGCCGATCTGGTTCCCTCATCAACGCCATTGGCCTGCACTGGGATGTTTACCCCAGTGACTGCAGCAGCTGCTGAGCCCCAGCCTGCCCCAGAGAGGCGGGGGGACCTCCATTCCTGCTAACCCCCATCCGCATGGCTCAATAAAAGGATGTGGCTGAAGCCAGTGTGTGTGTGTGTGTGTCTGCAGCTGGGCCCTGCCTCCTGGCTGTGGGTATGGATGTGTGACTCTGATTTTTGGCCATCAGTCTGGTGGAGAGCAGAAGAATGAGGGAGAGAGTTGTAACTTTCATCAAAATGTATTGAGAAGAGATAACAATCTGGCTTGTACCAACTCTGCTTGTGTTTACCCAAACTCCTGGGAGTGTCTGCTCAAACTGGGGTCCTGAGTCTGAGGGTAAGTCTTTGTGGTGGCTTCGTGCCCAAACCTCAGATGTTCCTTCTCCAGCCCTCTTGTTTCCGCCTTGAGATACTGCCTTTTCCCCCAAAGGCTGACAACTCAGTCTCCCAGACCTCAACCCACTTGCCGCATGTGGGTAGCCTGGGCCATGACCCTTTGTTCTTTCCCCAAACCCACGTGCCTTCTGAAGTTTAGCCCAGGTTTGTGCCAAGGACTCTGTTCTGTTACTCCAGCTAAGCTCCCCACCTTTACCCAGGCTCCTAGTGACCTTGCTGGGCTCTTTCAGAATGGGGGTTCTTCCCTCAGAAAGTCACTCTCTCCTCAATAGCTTCTATTCTGCCCCTTCTGCAAAGAAAGGGCACACCAAGGGTGGGGGGGTGATTTCCATCATGGGTTTCCATGAACATCAAGACTTAGAGTTCAGGGAAAGGCTTTAGGGTAACTGGATAGATTCAGCGAGAATAGAAATAATTCTGAGGACTCTAGTTCCCAGATCTAAAATTTTAACTTTTGGTGGAGGAGGGAGGGAGAGGGCTGGAGAGGGTTGGAACTTACACATTGCTCCCATAGGGAATGCCAGAGTCACATCTCTTCCCAGTTAGACAAAGATAACAGGTGCATGTATGTTTATAAAGAAACACCAACATTATAAAAGCAAATATACGCCAGGCCTCTTTTATCAACAATTCCTTTATTTCTCTCAAACAATCACTTTCATGGACTAGACTATTATGCCACTGTAATTCTTTTTTATTGCTACATAAATTACATATTATAAAAGTCTTTTTTTTTTTTAAGATTTATTTATTTATTTATACAAGCACTGGGTACAGTCAGAAGCGCAGGAGGGTGAGATAATTCACCAGAGCCAGAGCAGGAAACAGAACAGGCAGACTGACAAAGTACACTGCTGAGGGGAGCAGCGGGCGTGGCAGGAAGAGAGGTCTGTTGCACCATGTGGGACCCTCGCGGGCAGCAGGGGATCAAACTGGCACTGCAGAGGCTGCAGGCAGCTTCGCAGCCCGGTGCTCCACCGCTGCGCCACCAGGGGAGGCCCCCAAGTCTTTTTTTTAAAGATTTATTTATTTATGCATACAGAATTGGGGTATAGGCCAGAAGGGTGGGGGGTGAGAGGATTCACCAGAGGCAGAGCAGGGAACAGAACAGGCAGATCGACTAAAATACACTGGTGAGGGGAGCAGCAGGCAAAACAGGAGAGGTCTGCTGGCCATGTGGGTAGCTCCTGGCTGGGGATCGGAATTCTTGTTGCAGTGGCTGCGGAAGCTTCATAGGTTGTGTTCTTTTTTTTTTTTTTTTTTTTTTATAGAGGCATGCTTTATTTATTTGTTTGCTGGTTTGTTTGTTTGTTTTGTTTATACATGCACTGGGTACAGTCAGAAGCGCGGGAGGGTGAGAGAATTCACCAGAGCCAGAGCGGGGAGCAGACCAGGCAGAAGGACCGAAGTACACTGCTGAGGGGAGCAGCGGGCAGCAGGAGAGGTCTGCGCGCCATGTGGGACCCTCCTCCGGTGGCCGGGGAGCAGCCGGGGATCGAACCGGCGCCGCAGAGGCCGCGGGCAGCTTCGCAACCCAGCGCTCAACAGCTGCGCCACCGGGGAGGCCCCATAGGTTGTGTTCTAACCCCTTGCGCCACCAGGGAGGCCCAAAAGTCACCCTTTTAAAGCATGTGATTCCGTGGTTTGTACTATATTCACAAGATTGCACCTCTCTTGTGTACTCTCTAATTCCAGAATGCTTTCATCATCCCATACCCACTAAGAGGCCACACCCCTTCCCTGTCTCCCCCAGACCCTGGCAACCCCCCATCTACCTACCTTCCGTCCCATTGATTTACCTACTCCTGACATTTCACAGCCATGGAACTGTACAACTTGGCTTTTTGTGTCTTGCTCCTTAACATAAAGTTCTCGCGGTTCCTCCGTGTGGCCGCACACAGCAGTACTTCAGTCCTTTTTATGGCTGAATTTGGTACATTTTTTTTTTTTAAGAGGCAAGTTTTATTTATTTGTTTGTTTGTTTGTTTTTTGTTTATACAAGCACTGGGTACAGTCAGAAGCACGGGAGGGTGAGAGAATTCACCAGAGCCAGAGCTGAGAGCAGAGCAGGCAGAAGGACCAGGGTACACTGTTGAGGGGAGCAGCGGGCGGCAGGAGAGGTCTGCGTGCCATGTGGGACCCTCCTCCGGTGGCCGGGGAGCAGCCGGGGAGCAGCCGGGGATCGAACTGGCGCCGCAGAGGCCGCGGGCAGCTTCGCAACCCAGCGCTCAACCGCTGCGCCACCGAGGAGGCCCTGAATTTGGTACATTTTTGACAGATATCCAGTCAACTTTAAGTTAACCTGTAAAGCGGTGGTCTTCACACTGCCCTGTGGAGGCAGTGGCACCTCAGGGGTGGCCACGCAGGAGACAATACAGAGAGGGGGTTCTTGGCTTTGATTTAGTCTATGTGTTAGACTTTTGCGAAAGATTTTTTTTTTTTAAGGAAAAATGTCCTTGGGCCTCCCTAGTGGTGCAAGGGGTTAAGCACCGCACTATGAAGCAATCCGAAGCCTCTGCAGCACAAGTTCAATCCCCGGCTTGCCAGGGAGCAACTCACATGGTGAAGCAGATCTCTCCTGTCTCACCCGCTGCTCCCCTCAGCAGTGTATTTCAGTTAGTCTGTCTGTTCTGTTCCCCACTCTGTCTCTGGTGAATCCTCTCATCCCCCGCATCTCTGGCCTGTGCCCCAGCTCTTATATGCATAAATAAATAAATCTTTAAAAAAAAGAAAAATGTCCTTTACCCCTAAATAATGTTTAAAAATGGTTGAATGGAGTTAATCACACATTTATGTAACATTCCCTGCTAGGAATTAGGAATATAAAAAAATATTTTGATTGATGCTATCCAAGATGATTCTCATAGGATGTTAATGGAACCCAAAAGAGGATTAACTTTCTCTGGCAGTGTCAGGGAAGACTTTGTGAAGGATAGTGTGCATGTGGGGGAGTGTTCACGTCTAGGGGTGCAGTACTGGACCCAGGGCCATGCTTATGCAGAACTATGAATAAAGAAAAATTACAAATGGCTTAGCACAGTTAAAATGCAACATACAGTTGGGCAAAAGATGAAGCCTCATGGAAAGGCAGGGGCTGTGACTGTCATTCTAAACTATTTAAACTTTATTTTTTGGCCTAAGGGAGCCACTAAACCAAAATTTTGCCTGAGGGATTGGTACGATCTGTAATATTATTTTTCTGGTTTAAGTTGGAAAGTAGATCAAGATGAAGCAAGATGAGATTAGAAAACAGTGAGGAGACTAGATCAGCAATGATCCATGAACAGAGGCAGCTCAAGAGGAAGAGAGAAAGGGAACCATTGGAGAGAATTGGTGGGGGTAGACTCCCCTGACTTGAGGGGCAGAGAAGGAGCGTCTAGGAGACCTGCCATGTTTGTAGCATAGGCAGATGGGAAAAGAGGGATGTTCTTGGAGATGGGGAGACAAAAAGAAAAATTAGCTTTTCGGCCTGTTGAGTTTTGGTGTATCTGTGCATCCTAGTTGAGATCAAACAATAGGTACAGAGACATTTGGAAGTAAAGCTTTGATACAAGTTGGCTATAGGACTTAGATTCAGGGGCCTGTAACATGTGGAGAATGAAGCTCAAGTGATAGGTGTGGAAGAAGTCACCCAGGAAAACAAAGGGGCGTATCAAATGAGAAGAAGCCCGCTGGGAGGACTGGGAAGCACTAATGTTTGATGGTTGGTCCAAAGGAGAGGAATCAGTTAAAGAAATGGAGAATGGAGTGGCCTTGGAGGTAAAGGGAATGAGGAGTGATACACTTGAAGGCAACGGAGAAATTTCAAGGAGTAGTTAATGCCACTGAGATCAAGGAAAAGACAGACTTCAGTTTCCTTGTCATTTAGCCGCAGAAGGTCTTTAATAATCTACGAATCCCATGTCATCATCACCCGAGGGAGGATTGCTGGCTTCTTTTTTTAAAGATTTATTTATTTATTTATACAAGCACTGGGTACAGTCAGAAGTGCGGGAGGGTGAGAGAATTCACCAGAGCCAGAGCGGGGAGCAGAGCAGGCAGAAGGACGAGGGTACACTGTTGAGGGGAGCAGCGGGCGGCAGGAGAGGTCTGCGTGCCATGTGGGACCCTCCTCCGGTGGCTGGAGAGCAGCCGGGGATCAAACCGGCGCTGCAGAGGCTGCGGGCAGCTTCGCAACCCAGTGCTCAACCGCTGTGCCACCGGGGAGGCCCTCCTGAAGATCTTTAAAGAAAGTTTCCGTGAATTTTGGGAAGACGGTGGTTGTGATTAGTTAAGGAATGAATGGGAACTGAGGAAACACAAGAAGCAAGCATAGACTATTCTAAGAACTGGGGTTCTAGAAACCAAGAAGATGGGCCAATAAGTCACGGTTATTGTTGGGGGAAAAGAATGTCCTGAACAAACTCCACAAATAGGTTTTATGGACTCCACCCCCACCCTAGACCAAAGATATCCAAGATACTAAGAACTACAAATCCCATGTCATCATCACCCAAAGGAGGATTGCTGGCACCCGAGGGTGGAGTTAAGCAGCCAGGTTTGGTATATAACCAGACATGTGGGCCGTGGGGGTCTCTTGTTTTTTCACCAGCTGTCAGCATGCTCTTGGCAATCCAGCTCAGTGGAACTGGTAGTGTTACAGGGTGGTCCCCAGGAAAGGGGGAGGTTCCAGGTTCCCTGCCCCACCCAAGGAAGGGTG